CTCAAAAGTTCCTTTGTTCCTACCATAGGTTGTGGTCAACCATTTTGCCTTGTAGTGAGGACTGCCCAGCACCCTTGGCTCCCCTTAGAAATATTTGGGCGCTAACAGTCACAGGGGCATTTTGGTTAAAAGAAAAAGAGAAGCTGTTTTCTGAGGGCAAAAAAATTGGATGGGGGAGAAGGATCTAGTGTGGCTCTGAAAGGTGAATGAACAGGTTGTCTACCGTGGTGAAAACTAGCAGTGGAATTCTGGCCTATATCATGACACCTGGTAATATCCCTTACGTTTTGGCCATTCTTGTAGGGAGCTGGACTCCTTCCAACCCCACCGGGGGCAAAATTAAAGACTCCTGCCCCTATTTTACCTAACTCTTCCAGTCTTCTTCATCTGAAAACCTTGCTTCCAGGCCAATCACCATCTTTCGTTGCAGATGTTTTTCATTCATGATAATCATGGACCCTGTGGACAGCCTGTATCTGAAATCAATCTGGAGTGCTACCTGCTAAATCCAGAACTCTTTCCCATTTCTTCCCGAATCCAGACATGTTGAGGTGAGCTTTGGTGACTTAGCTATGAAAAAATTGAACATTATGCATCCCACCCACTCCCTAAATTATGTTGCAATTCCTTATAGATTCAGAGATAGAAGTGGCAAGTTTTCAGAAGCCAGAAAACTTGTAACTACAATTCCCAGAGGCCACTGGCTGGAGAATTCTGGGAGCTGTTGTCTGAAAAGTGACTTCTGAGCAGTGCTTCTGGTGGTGCATTCTAGATCTAAGTTATGCATCCTTTGTTACACCTAAATCAGGGTGACATAATGAACTCAACACCTACGATAACCATATTTGTTCAGTGTTATTTCATCCGAGCTGCCCCATGCTGTGTTGATTCAACTTATTTTTTTTCTCCAGTGGTTGCAACTGTCAACCTTGTTAGGGTCAGTCTACATTACACGGAAGTCAGTGATATTTAAGACCCCTTACTGTCTGTCTGCACTGTAGGCTTTATATTTTCAGTCACTTTTGTGACGCTAGTTTGAGAGGCAGGTGGTGGGGGTCTGTGGTCTGAAAGCCTTTAGCAATTTTTCCCCTATTGAGACTGATAGATTTCCCAGCAATACTATAGGTTATGGATGGACCCTGCAGATATTGATGGACTTAAAGCCCCATCAGTCCTAGTCAACAGGGACAGTTGTGAGGAATCCCCGGAGCTGCAGTCCATCAACACCTAGAGGCAGCCATGTTGCTTTCCTGCTACAGGTCATGATATTCTCTAAAGATCAAATCTTTTAAAGCTGATGTTAAACACTCTGGAAACTCAAACAAAAATCTGAAAATCTGGTGCTAGATCTAAAATAGATTAATCACTCTCAAAAGCAACTTTCTGATTACTGTTGTCAGAAATGAATAACCGTTCCTACCAGCACACAATTCTTGATAACATTCTGTGAAGTAGAAATATGAACTAAGCAGTGTAATCAATAAAGAAGTGGACAATTTGGTGGGCCAATGAATATCCCATTGTCTAACGGGAAAAATTGCTTTGTGTCTGCGTGTCCTATAAATACAACGGTTGCTACCATGATTCCTAGCACCGTACTTGTGTATCACTGCAAGAGCTTGCTCTGTAACCATGGAATCCGTCTCCATCACAGTCATAATACAAGAGAAAAATATCTAGCATCTTCCTACAGAAGGAAAAAAAATATGTTATTTTTATAATCATTGTTCTTCAGTGGAAAAGCAATGCCCTTTCCATATAAATGTGGAGGGTCATGCGTATGTCAGTGACACTACCACCACTGATTAAAAATTGTTTGTGATTCCTTGTAAAAGGGCATTAGCCACTTCCATGCAAGTTTTATTAAATTTGTATTATTCATACAAATACACACACACTAGCTTGCTTGAGGTATGTTGGCTTATTGGTATGTAAGTGCAGAATGCTGAAGTACAAGAGACTTTTACCAACAAGTGCGTAGTTTAAGCACCCACCTTTGAGTAATTATCAGGCAGGCAGAGTGCACATAATGTGGATAAGGGCTATATTTAAAACAGCATCTTGCTAAAGAGAGCCAGCCACCCAACTTTCTGTCACACTACTGCAAAGCAAGAAGGCAGAAATATATACTTTAAAAAATTAACAGTGGGGTCTCATATGGCAGGTTAGGATGAAAAGGATCCTAGGTGTAAACAGGTGGATAACTAGCATCTTCAAGGATATGTTAACATTCCCATGATGAACTATAACTATAACAACATAAGATCAACACCTTACACTAGGGCTGTCAAAAACAGCACAGTGAGGCTATAAATGCATGGCCTTCAACCAAATGCCATTCACTAACCATTTCTGCGGAACACAAACCATAATTTTTGTCTCTGCTTAGCACTGGTAGTTGCAAAGGGAGGATGGCATTTGCTTGTAAATGCACCATGGATAATTAATCTCCACTTTTCTGCAGAATGTAATCAACTAACTAATACATTATCAATGTGTTGAGCTATAGCTAATTTAAAAATGCAGTTTTGGAGGTGGTGTGTAACAGTATTCTTGTAGATGTGCAAATGATAACTGTAGCGAACAGCCCTGTCCTCACCTGCCTGTCACTGCAGAACATTGAAGCAGGAGCTAATGAGTGAACAGAAGGCAGAGCCAAGGGGGGAGGGAACTGGATATAAAGACTGGTGGATGGAGTCTGAGGGAGAGAGAGACTGTGTGTAGCTTAAAAGTGATCGAAGAGTGAGTTAGAGATTTGTAAGAGCATAGATGGAAGTAGGGTGTTAAAAGAATTTTGAAGTTACATCCTATCTGTTACATATATAAGTGATTGGCAGCCTGTGATTTATCCTATTAATATATATTATTGCCATCCCTGATTAAATAAAGGATTTAAGCTTTGTCAGCACACGTGTCTCCACACTCAATTGATATTACAGCAGTAATATCTGGTGGCAGAGAAGAAGAAAGAAGAGCGAGATCCTCCTGAAGGTCTGAGAGGATAGGGTCTTCAGAGGAAACCGCAACAATAACAAATCAGCACCTCAGAGATTCATCATGCTAAATACAAGTAATGGTTAAAATGATTCTCTAATGCTTCCTTTAACTATAACGTTGGGAGTGGAAGACATTGGCAAAATCATACAGGAGGAAATATGCAATGTTATTATGTATTATATATGTAGCAGTAACTATATATAAATTTCTTGGCATGAACTCAGCCTTACATTGAGTCGGAAGCAGCCTCACACTGAGTTGGGCCATTGGTTACACCCAGTACTTTCTAACCTGGAACAGGTCTAGTTTCTATGGCGTAAACTGGTTTGAGATAAAAAATGCTGGAATTTGAAGCTAGAGATATCACCCGAAAAGCATGAGCTCTTTCAGAGATCTATGGCCCTTCCCCATAGATCTCTGTTAATTTTTTAAAAATAGTGGTTACAAAGAAAAAGAAATGAAAACAAACACTAACAAATGACAAAGGACAAAACAATCTCTGAGAGTATATTAATAGGCATGACGTCTTGAAAGGAAACGGGTCTAAAATTCTAGACATTTGATCTTTGTGACTTGTAATAATCTCATAAAAGGATGTATGGCAGGAAGCTTCACATTATATATTTTCAAATTTATATGTATTGTTGCAACTGGTCTTGTGCATATCAGTTAATGTATGTATAATAGTATATGTAACCTGACTCAGGCTATCTAGTCTATATATGGATTTTATTTGGAATTTAATTAAACATAGGTTTCTGTGGACAATTTCTGTAGAAGTGACCCCCAAGCTCTTGAAGCCTCTGACACCAGAGAAGCAGCTATGCTGGGATACAGAAGTACAGAGAGACACGTCACCCAAAGATCGGCCACCAGGTGTTGAACTGACCACAGCAACCATGAATGAACATAATTAACAGTGTGAAATAGTCAGGATTCTCATTACTGAAGGAACCACAACATCACAAGCCTTCCAGGTATGTGCCCATTTGTTTTTTATGCCAGAGATGACTGTGTCGCTGGTCCACTGAGCAATCGTGGGAAGACACATCTCCAGAAGCACCTGGGGGACAGGTTCTGGACACGTGTAGCCCCTTTAACCTTAGAAGACACGTGGTAAAGTCCACCAACAAGATTGTGTGCCATGGAAAGCTACAGGGGAAACCTGTGGCTCAGAGACATAGCAAGATGCTTCTGTGACACTAGCATATCCTAAAATAAACAATCATCATGTAACTATTAATATTCGTGATTTTATGTATTTTTAAAGAATGCTTTAAAACTTTTAGACTTTTTTTTTAACTGACTTAATTCCATGTTTGTCAGACACTGAATAAACAGGCCAGGAATGGTTTTTCCCCCAAATCCTAATGTATTTATTTGTATTACTATTGAGGACTCAGGAAGCCACTCAGAAAAAAAGGAAAAAATAACTCATTTCAGTTATAGATCAGACAAAGGGTTGAGAACAGCAACAGTGCTAAGGATCTCAGTAGGCAACTGCATTAATAGAGATAAATGATTTGTATTGTTGTGCTTGGGAAACTGTATATTACTCTCCTACTGCCTCCACCCTTGTTAATGAAGCAAAGGTGAATTCTGTGCTGGGAGTTTTTGCAACCTCGTATGCACCTGCAGTTTGTTTGACTAGGTGGGACCTTTCTGGGCTAGCTTGACCATGAATCTATCCAGCACCAACCAATCATTTCGTCCTGCCTCTGAATTCAAAGAAAGTCCTGCCTCTCGCTCTGTGCTGTTTCTGTCTCATTCCCGTTGGAAAGCATTGTTATCAGTGTTTGTTAGTTTGCTGCTGATCTATTCACAATTGTAAGTAACAAAATGTTGTTATTCTTTCTCCTACAAATGTCTCACCGTGAGCTATTGAGACTGACTGTTAAGTGTCAGTTAACGAGAAAGGGTTGAGCTATCTAGGGAACTTTCAGCTATTCTCTTCTGTGAGTCCCTGTACTTCTACTGCATAGCAAAAGGAATTTTACCAATGCTCACCTTATGACTTCTTCCTTTTAAAATTCTCTATAAATGTATTTTGTTTTCCGTTTCTGGAGTAAAACACAGTATCAGTCAACATTTGTTGAAGGACACTTTACACCTTATGCATGCACCTCTTTCTTTTTCTTTTTCTAGAGGGCACAAAGAAAGCTAAAATGTCCCAACATGATAAACTCATATATAATACAATTAAATTTGTCAGGGAAGTGGATTTGGTTACAGTTTCTTGTTCAATGTCCACTTAGCAGTGGGGTGGCTTCTACACACTGCATGCAAAAGCTCTTATTATATTTATATTCCACTTTCCTGCCAGCATGGAAATTATGATTTCCCATGGCAACCTGACATCCAGGCAAATGAATAGTTTAGTGTGGTAGATACATCACAGGCCTTCAGAACAGAGCTTGGAAAGTTACTTTTTTTTTGAACTACACCTCCTTAAAAAACACTAGCCTGGCTGACTGATGACCAAGGTGGTTCAGGAGGTGTGAGCGCTGCAATCCAAAAATTCCCACCACCAAGATGTGTTTCAGACCATTTTTCTGGATGTTCATGAATTCTGCTCCAAAAGCAGAGCTCATTCTTTACTCCAAAATATTACTCCTTCCTTTGCTTTTAGCTTCCCCAGTCAATATCCTTTCAACTAATGGGAAAACTATACTTTATGGGTAGCCTGTTGTTAGAGGCCGTTAGCGTTCTAGAAATGTGATTCAAGCAAATCTTTGCAACTGGATGATCATACTTTCAAATGAAGCAAAACGTACCTCATGATAAACAATCATAAAAATAAAGCAAGATAATTGGGAAGCTACTGGAACAGAGAAACACCTGCTCTGACAATCAGATGTTCTCAGCACTAATGGAATTCACTCTTCTACCAGTAGGTTTTCTATAACTATATTGTATTTGGGCTGCACTCTTGGCCTATAGAGCTGTGAGTCATGTTGCAGAAAACTTAAAACTGAATTGTAACTGCATTTGGTGCCTTCTATCACTTTCTCAATGTTTCACAGGAGAAGATAGCATGACACAGAAGTATACCAAAGCCAGGCAATCTGTTCTTTCAGCTCTGCCGTATCATTAAACCAATGTGTAGATATTCCTTAAGTCTGTGTAATAAATCCATCATTAAACAATCATGGTACGAATGTCTACATTCTTGCTGTTGGGAACTTGGACTCCTGCATGTAGGATGCCTCGGCTGTGGGATTGCTTTTTTCCAGGGGATTTTGGAGAGATGGTGGTTTACAAGAATTCTGGTCTCTGACTGAGAGCTACCTATGCCAGAAGAAAACAAAAACAGCATCACTACAAGTCTGGGGGAAGGCTTACAGTCAATAGCAAAACAAAGGCTCTGCAATCAGCAACTCGCAGGTTTGATCCCTGAAAACTCCAGCTGATAATGAATTGCTTTCTCATAACAAGAAGAGCTTGCAGAACTTACTTCTTTGGAGAACCATTCCTTGAATCCCCTAGCCAATTGTTGGCTTCTGGGACCTGGAGTCCAAAAAAGTAAACTTTATAAGCACTGGTAACACCATTGGTAAAGACCTGTGCCTGACAGCTAGAAATACTGTATCTTTTAACCATCAACAAACCAACACCCCTGAATAGAGTGGATCCATTATCTTTTACAAGGCTGAAAACAGTGAATGTGGTTGAAGCCACTATTCTAGTATGCTGAAACATTTGGTTGCAGGGCAAACTGCATGTGCATTCAAGCCAATTTGACCACACCATGCATGTCTACCTTTACTCAGAAAGGTGGCAGGTCTTACAGCCAGTTGGAAAGAAAATATACGTCATGTACACCATGCATGTCTACCTTTACTCAGAAATACATTAGTGGCAGGTCTTACAGCCAGTTGGAAATAAAATATACGTCATGCGATATACAGCAACTCCCTCTCTAGCCCTAGCTGGTCATGCCAGTGTGTGGGATCAAATCTATGAGGTACGAGCGTGCTTGCAATTTCCAGTTGCCCTCTATCACGGAGAGTGATTTCCGAACACTCGGAACACTTGCCATTATTAAGGATATTCTCCACCTGATCAAGAACCTTTCTAAACTCTATTCTATGACAGTGATAATACACACCCCATGCACATGGCTGGGGACACACCAAGTAGCCTTGCTTTTGATATAACATCACACATAATTCCACACTAAGAGGCATCCAAGCTTTGCAAGCACTGACAGTGGGAAGACCTTCACACATAAGGCTGCACCCACTGAGTGCTTCTGCCTGATTCAGAACCTGGTATGATCAGCTTTCTGAATCATGAGGAAGCCATCTCCATGAAGGCCTCCTAAATGCATGCGCTCTGTAACCATGGATACCTGTACAGGTGGGGTGGTGATTATGTTTTTTTGGGGACACCGAATCTGTCCAGATTTTCTTCTGAACTCCAACTGAGTTCTCAAGGTCCTGAATCTTGCCTTCAGCACCTTGGATAGCCCCTAAGAAGTTCAGATGAAAACTGTGAACAGATGCACCACCCCTACAAACATGGAGACACCATCCACCCCAGGAGCTATGCAGTAATATCATGTCACAGAAAAGGCTCCCTGATGTGGCACCATCTCTGCTCACGTCATGACTGTTGTTATTTTTATAACACACAAAATGAATGTTTGTCATTTCTGATGTGTATATGGATAGATGGCTCCGAGCACCACTAACTGAAAAACATTGTGCATATCTTCTATCTTTCCCTTCCTGCTGGATTTTTCTATAACAGAGAGAGAGAGAGAAAGAGAATCAGTGGGAAAACACAGGGGTTACAAATGAAAGATCTCATCATCTTGGAAAAGTTTTATGAATGAGAAATATGATCACGAATAAACGCCTCACATGAAGCACCCTCAGACTCTTCTTGCCTCTGTAAAATGGGAACAGCAGTCACCTGGCACAGGGCTTATGTAGAACCAAAGTCTACAAGCTATTTTGCACACCAAACAGGCCACATAAATTGTGGCTTCTTTGAGAAAGTGCTGAAACATATTTAGAGACCCATTTATCGCACATACAATAAAAATGCAGGACCACAGACTTTCATGACCCCACCACATATACTGGAGCTCTGAAAACCTGCATAATTTGCACCTTTGTTCCCAGCTTTAATGTCCTTTTGCTCCCATCTTTACTGTCCAAAACTATAACCACCAATGAACGTATTTATTTCGGTATAAGCCACCAAATTATTGGAGATAACTCCAGGAAGAAATGACTTGAGGCTAGAACTTGTACACATTGCAGTTTTTGCATTAGTGGGATAATCTCTAGGGTTCAGAATATTCTGAGCAGTTGTGCAAATATAGAATATTTTAGCTAGTTACAGGAGAACTAGCCAAAAGGTATGCAGATCTATGAAATTACAACAAGGATAATCATAGTCTTATTTGCTTCCTAGCCAATCACAAATATATTTGTGATTAGTATTTCTTTATGCCACAATGGTAAAGTTTAAAAAGTTAATTATGGTTTTATTTCTATTCTATAGCCTCAGTTAAATCACTTTAATTGCCTCAGGACAGCACAGGATTGCTAAGAAAAATTTTGAAAGCATAAAATACAGTCATTGCTAAGGTGTTAATACCATATCAAGCAGCACAGCTATTCTCTTAAGGTTCGCCATATTCTTAAACTGTTCACATCATCACACTGTGTACCAAAAATCCCACAGCTGCCCATTTTAGGGTCTGCTGAAACTGTATCTCACCTCCAGTTCATCTGGGATGAAGACTCAGGCTCCTAAGTCCACATATAGTGTGCAGCAGCAAATATCTTGTGGACAAGCTTATCTTTTGGTCTGATACATGTTGGATCTCCCTATTCAGTCATTGCTCTCCACCCATGTCCGAGGCAGTGGGGCAGAAACAACTGACACACCCAAGTCCCATTCCAGATGTTATCCCACACAGAACTCCTGGTATAATGTAACATTTCAAGAGGCCCCAAGTATTCTCCCGCTAGCCTTATCTGAAAAAAAGAGTGATTGCTTTATCTTTTTATTGTCAGTACTGTTCTCCTAAAGCTAGTTTTCATGCTGATTCAGGTCTGCTTGGTCTGAGACTCTATACTGTGGTCTCTAAACTCTGTCACCTCCTAACCCCTGTTGCATCAAACAGCCTGACATGCCAGGTATAGGTCAGTGTGGGATCTTAAGCATCAATATTCTTTTCAAGTGCATGAAACCAAATCTATTCTTCACGAAGGTCACAGAAAGGAGCAATCAATGAAGCCCTTGGATCCTATTTAAGAATTCAGGACTGTTCTATTACAGATATGCCCAGATTTTGGGCGAACACGTGTTGTTTAAAGCAAGAAGGTAATTTAAAGAAATATATTCATTGTGCTGGCAAATTAGAAAAACCAAACAGCTGTAATAAAAGACTGACTATATTTAGAATGTTGGCCTAGGCAAGGGCTACTGCTAAAATCAAAAGGTAGCGTGAGCACAATTTTAGAAACAACAGAAGTAGTAATACATGTTTTTGCAAGCTGCAGGAAGTGGAAAATTTAACGGGTTGCCTTTTTGTGTACTCAAGCCAATGGTGCACCTGGGAATACTCAAGTCTCTCGGGTGAGTGACATAAAAATAAAACTGGTAACTGTCAAGATTCAGACCTTTTGACTTAGTATTTACAGCAGATCACAAACCAGATCCCTTGTCATCTAGCTGGGCAATTCAGCCACCTGCATGAGAATCCACAACAACCCTCCATCCCAGCGATCTGTCATGTTGCTGAGGTCACATCTGTCAGACAAAGGGCGATGCTCAAAAGCCCCATTAAAAACCAGACTGTGTGATGCGCACAGTTGCGCACACAGTCTGGACACTCACCCAGTCCTCAAAGTGGCGGCTCCCATTCTGCAGCAAGTCCTCAAACTGGATCGTACAGTTGGCCACAAAATCGTCGTACCCAATGGGGGCATCATGGAACACGGCCATCTCAATCTTCTTGCCATTGCTAACATCAGTGACAAATTCGTCGTTCCAGGAGGGGCTGTTGGTTTTCTGCTTGGTCGAGGTTTGTCCGATCCTGGAATCGTCCACATTGAGAGCAATGTATGGGTCTAGCAAGAAGGTCTGTGGCTTGGGACCCACGGCATGCCGTAGTGACCAAGCGGTGGGCTTCAGATTCACTGCTTCGCAGATTTTGATTTTCAGCATGCCATTAAAAACCACCATGGTTAGATGGCTTCACTTGTATTGTTCCCTGGGATTAAGCACGCTCTGGAGTGAAGAAGGATCCTAGGAGATTTCTCCAATAAATAAGAAGGCAGGTTTAAGTGAGGGGGGGGGCGATGAAAAAAGCTAAGAAGAACTGTCTCCTTTTCGTTGCTCTTTGCAATAGGATTATTTCGCCTTTCCTCTTGCGACACCCAGTGAAGACACACATGCATGCATACATATACATGCATTCATAGAGCTTTCTTTCCTTGTGTGTTTTCTCGCGGGATGGAAAAACAAAACAAAAACAAGGAGGGGACACAGGAGGGGAGGGGAGGGGGAGATGCGTCTCTCCCCGCAGACACCCAAAGCCCAATCCCGAGCACAATCCGACAGCTCCTCCGAGGCTGAATCGAAAACCGACTTTTCTTTCCTTCCTACCCCCACCCCCACCCCGCCACCTCCTGCCTTCGCCTCCTCTTTTTAGATCATAATCCTGGATCAGTCTTCTGCAAAAAGCAATCCGAGGCTCTTGCACGCGCTAGTGCTGTCTTGTCTTGGCGGCGGCGGC